ACTCAGCGATGTCTGAGTTTTATGAGTTTTCCCATTTTCGCAGGCCGGTGGGATAATCAGTCATACACCTCCAGGGTCCTTATTCTATGGAGGTGTTTCATCGTCATTAGCTCCTCATCAACCTAATATACCTGCTCAGGACGACGACGACGATGGTGATGGTGATGATGATGACAGCGAGGAGTCAAAACCAGTGATACGAAGAAATCCTCCTCGAGACCGACAGCCACCGCCTCGCGGAACACATTCGCGTCGCAGGCATCGATAGATTTTGTTTTTTATTATATTTGTATTTACTTTATTTTGTTAAATTGTAATTTTTTATTATTTCTCATTTAATACTTACTTTATTTTGTTAAATTTGTTGGACTTTTTTTTAATGTATTTCAGTTCATTTTGTTTATTACAATTTAATATCAGTTATTGTAATTTGGTTATCATTTACCATTTAATACTTATTGTAAGTTTGTTGTATTTAAAATTATATTCAAATACCAAATTGTTATTAGTTTAATAAAATTTAATGATTGTGTTAGTATTTTTAATCTTCATCATCGATTATCGAATGACATTAACTTGAAGTAAATACAAATTAAAGTACAAGAATTATTATTTGATAAACAAATACATCATTTCCTCATCAATTGTTACTTGATGACAATAGAAGTGGACATGTTTTTCGAGTGTGTCATGAGTTTCTACAATGCCCACATCTTCTGTCTTGTCTAGATCTTTCTCAAATATCCATATCGCAATGAATTCGATTGGATTTTGGACGACCACGCTCCCTCAATAAACTCGAATTTGGTACAATTGGAAGCCAATCTTGAACCTCATCAGGGTCTTTGTCATTACCTATGGGGGGAAACTCAAATTCGTATACCTTAAAAACTTCAGATAGTATGTATACGAGATCCACAAAATGGTTATAGTCTTGACGTGTATGCGAGCAAGATGCTATCACATGAGAGAATAGATACTTAAGAGCTTAAAAAAACCCGCAGTCGTACGTTTTGTCCCTTAGATTTACTCTTAACGACACAACTTCAATTCCTTGAAGAGGTCGCAGTAACTCTATGACACGAAACATTTCATGCCTTCTAGAGAAGCTTGTTACAGACATTCCATTTGATGCAACAATTTTTTTCTGTACATCTGCAACTAATCTAGGGTGATAGATTTGCATCCATGTTTAAGCTTGTCCCCCGAGCTTCACAAAAAGCACCCCCAAACGAAAATATATAGTTTTTACCAAAGCCGCTACAGGTAAGTGACGTACACCCTTTAAGGTTAAATTGATTGCCTCAACCAAGTTGGTCGTCATGTGTCCATATCGATATCCACCATCATATACGTTTGTCCACATTTGTTTATCGATGAGGCTAATGTAATCGTATCCTTCCTCGTTCTTCGCCCGTAAATCTTGAAGCATTGATTCAAACGTTCGAGGAAGAAGTTCGTATCCTAATCAAAAAATGTATAACTTACTAACCTGATCAAAATGATCGAAAGAAAACAAACTACATCAGTTTCACTTACCCATGCACACAAGTAATTGACGCTCATCATTCTTCTTGTATCTTCCATGGTAGTTCGTAGCAATGTGTCGGAGACAATACCTATGTTGGACAAAGGGTGGTTACCACATTGGACCCAAAGACTCCATTGTTGCTTTGATCCCAGCTCCGCGATCAGAAATGACACATATTTTTTCCCTCGTGATAACATGTGCACGTAAATTTTGGAGGAAAAAAGCCCAAGAATCTGTATCTTCTCCTTCGACAAGAGCAAAAGCAACTGGAAGAATATTGCAATTTCCATCTTGGACAACTGCCAATAATAAAACTTTCTTGTATTTTCCATACAAGAAAGTCCCGTCGATCTGGACTACAAGCTTGCAGTATTTGACAACATTAACATACTGTGGGTAAGTCCAAAAAACCCGGTAGAATTGGCATCGATCGCGGAGAACTCGGTCATTATGGTATGCATAGGAGGTTTCAAAGTCCACAATTGTCCCAGGATTCAACCTTTGCACCAGCCTAAACCAGCCTAGAAGTTCGTTGTAAGATGCATCACATTCGCCATGAAGTTTGACAATGGCATTTTGTTTTGCCAACCAAGCTTTTTTATAGGAGACAATGTACCCATACTGCGATTGTATAACTGAAATCAACACTGCAACAGCTATATGAGAGCTTGCTTTTACCATGGGCATGATGGCTTGACATATCACTTCAGAGTCCAAGTTGGGATGATATTGGTTGACCCCTCTAGCACAACATGTGTGAAGACTGTTGTATACTGTTAGTTCCCATATGTTGTTTTTCCTCTTCATTTTCGATACGCGAGCCATCCATTTGCATCCATTTTCGCATCGGGCACAGTAGCATACATATTTTTCGGTCGTCGATCGATTTACTTTGGACTGAACATAAATACGGATATTGTAATTTTTTATAGCCATCACCGCTTCTTCTTTGCTTGAAAACTCCATGCCTAAAGATAACTCACCATTATTTATTAATGAGTAATATCCATAGTCACCAAGATGAGGCATATCCGTAAATTCTGGCCCGTACATTGCACCATAATCAGCTTCACACATGTGTGCAGAGGGTCATTTTGTGCCACATTTCCTGGAACTTCATCATCATCGGAGTTGAATTGCGGTGATTCTGGGTGAATGGATAGTCCAGCCTTAGCACCATCCGCACCAGGCTCACGAAGCGGTTCTTCTGGTAGAGATGATGATTCCTCCATGCTCTCCACATTTAGGTCGAAGAACATACTACTTGCACGCCTTCCCCTTGAACTGGAAGGCATATCAACATTGAGATCGAAAAAGCTCGCAGTCGAATGCCTCCCCCTGGAGCTTGAAGCCATTGTGTCAAATGGAAACTGCACAGATGGTTGCGTCGATGGCATCTCCATATGGTCAAAGAAATTTGCAGATGAATGCCTTCCCCTTGAACTGGACGCGGTGTTGCCATACGGATTGTTCATGGACCCACCTCGGTACATATCGTAAGGAGTTGCGGATGAATGTCTCTCCATTATGACATTAAAATCATTACACATTACTGTAGTCGGGTTGTCAACTTGATCAACTTGTTCAGCCAGCCCATAGTGGAAGCTTAATGATTGACCCCGAACACCAAGCACTTGAACAAAATATACATACATCTCAATAGCGACGTCTGAATAATTACTTTGAGCTTCAACCATCATTTCAACATCATTATTGTTCGAAAGTTCGAATGATGTATAAGTTAATGACAACAATGATGTTGGAAATTTGTACTGGAACGACGACATTCTTCTACTACTTCCAACATGAATCTTCCTCGAAATCTTCGTTATCAGCTCTTCAAGAGTTATGTTTCTCTTGAATGATATTTTAACACGCTCATTTGATACGAAAACAACGTCGGTTTTATCTTCTCGAATTTCACCATCATAATAAACAATAGCTAAAAGTCGCGTCAGTCTTTGAGTTTAAAAGTGCGGCAATATTATATCTGCAAAAAAAATAACTGAAACAAACCTGATTAAATAAATTATATATGAATGAAAATATAACACAATAAATTTTTACACATCAACGTAAATAATTTAAATAATATAATTTTATATTATTACCTGCAGCGTAAAACTATTTCGACGTATACTCTCGCTTTTCAATTTTACAAACATAAAAATTAATTGAAAATAATTAGTATAACATTTTTTCAAATAATCATAATAAATAATAAGTATAATAAAAAAAATTATAACAAAATTACCTTATAACGAAAAATCGCACGAACTTCTAAACTAAATATGAGAAGATTGCCAAAATTATTGACTCGTTGACGGAATTGTTGTATTAATTTGTAAGTTGAGAGGAGAGATGTGAGAAATATAACCGGGAGGAGAAGGGTATATATAGCCATACAAGGCGCGGTACCTGCACCACGGTAGTATGGTATAGCGCGAATCAGGGTCCGCGCTAAATATAATTATCTAGATACACAGATATAGCACGATTCAGGAGGCGCGCTATACCCTACGTGACGCCAAATCAGCGTATAACGCGGGTCAGGGGGCGCACTTTACTGCTACGGGTGTTAGATCGAGAAATATAATCTGACCGATATTAGATCGATAAATATACTGGTCACCGGTGATATTTCGAGAAAAACGTCTCCATCCCGACCATAAAAAATTCAGTTTTCACTTTAATAGTCTAAACATGAAATCGAGAACCAAACAGATAGAGACACAAACGATATACAGTTAAATACAATTAATATCATTTGTTTCAAACGCTCAAAAGAAGTTATAGAACAATAGACACATATATACATATATGTACGTAATACTACGAAGTGTAGACTTAGGCGTTGGGATTGCATGTATTCATTATTGTCACAACAATGATAATGAATCTTGATGCAGATTACTATTTGATTTTATTCCCTACAATAGAGCTGGCAGATCTTGCAAAAAGAAAAAAAAAATTAAAGGTGGGGATTCTGGGTGAGCTGGCCTAGATTATTTGACAGATACTTGGAACTTTCCCTAATTTGTGCATACATGCATGCATACATACATACATACATATATATATATATACATGCATATATATATATATATATACATACATATATACATATATATACACACATACATATACTCATATATATATATATATAAAAGTAGAATATAATCTAATTACACAGTGTAAAATTTTTTAATTTTACACAGATTTAAAATCGTTAAATAAGTGAAATTAGACTATTGGAATTAACAATAATAAATGAGAAGATATTTACTAAAGACTAGAGAAAAAACAAAGAGTTAATATTTTACAGACATAAAAGATATCAGATTGTAAAATATTTCATATAAGAAGCACAATATCAGATTGTACAATATTTACAGATCAGAAGCACAAAAACAAGTCCATTTCCTCAAATTACATGTTAGACAATGTGAACATATGCCAGTGGAGAAAGATCTATCAAAATTCAAACCGTAAAGTACAAGGTTATTTTGTCACTTCACTAGTCTTGGGGTTTAGTTTCTTTTGCAGCCTGGATATACTGATGCTTGTTGGATCCTTGACCTGTTAAGTGAAATTCAATGAGTAAAACAACTCAGCTTTTGGAATTTGTAACAGGGACAGAACCCTAACATCATCAAGGAAAAACACACACACACACCTCGGTTTGGATGGTATGTAGTAAATACTCTCCAGATTTTGTGGAAACACAGCTTGCAACAGGCAGCCCTTCATCAATAAGTACAGACAGTACTGTTGAAAGGTACAAGTCTCGGTCGTCAAAGGCACAACGAAACATGATCTCAATGCCGATGAAGCTTTGCCGGATTATGAAGCAATAGTTTGAAGCAGGTCTGGTTTTTCCCGACCCTGCACTTGCAGAACCAGACACTCTCTTTAGTACATGTCTCTTAGCATCAATCTCTTTGACCTTCTTCTCCAAGTGTTTTATGTAGTTCACCGCCTCGTTCATATGATCCGACATCGACCGCTTTCCCTGGAAACCCTAAATCAGACATAAATCTCGACATGATTTTAACTAAGCTTTGTCTTACCTTGATGTAATCACCGGGGAGAAGTGACCGGAGCGAAGCATAAAGGGAGGCCACATCTTGTCTCCTTTGTCGTTCAGTCTCCCTATGCAGCTTCTGTTTCTTATATTTATCACAAGCGGCTAACCCTTCACAACCACCACCGCCACCGCTAGCCCCCATATGACAAGATTTCAGAGGCCAGGTTTTCGCCATAGGGTTGGCTTCCTCTTCAGTATGACCCGTTATCGGATCTTGTGGGATCTTGTGTTGGTTAGTAGTAGCGAAGATCTGGTACAACAACTCATCGCTTTGGTGTAAAGGGAACATTATTGTTCAAAGATTATACTCCAGCTTCTTTTTCCTGTTGATCTCCCTCCACAAAACGAAGAAAACAAGAAGATTATACGCTTGTTAGGGTGTAATGTGTAATGCATTACCCATCATTCTTTCTGCAATTTCTTTTTCTTTTGGCTTTGGAATAAACAAAAGCAATCATGAAAATGACGTAACCGGCAATTGTTAAATTAAAAGTTTTGTTTAATATACAAAATTTGACAATTTTTCAACTTAGTACTTGTATTTTTTTTTATCAAATTGATATTTGAATTTAGAAAAAATCTTAAATCGATAATTTTAGTTATTTGGGATTCTAGCAATCAACAAATTGAGGTTAAAAATCAAGTTAAGAAATCATTAAATACCATGTGTCACAGCCGACTGATTCTTAAATTTAGTGATGGAGCTACATTATATGTGGGAAGGCCGTATCCCTGTCCTCTCTCATTTGTTGTTTAAATACTTCTTTATTTTTTATTATCTTTATAATTAAATAAGTTAAACTTTTAATATATTTTTATAAAAAAAATTAATATAAATTAATAAAAATATTTATATTAACCCCTTCAAGATTAAATTCTCATCGAAATACTACATCAACAGTAAGTAGCAATTCGAGATTTATTTTTCCAAGTGTATTAGTTCATGTACTAATTTGATAAACAAATATTTAGGTACCGAGTTGCTGAAAATTATCAAACTCAAGTACGGATTCATGCATTAAACCTAAAAGTTTCAGGCTTCAGGTTCTAGGCACTGTAGCTTTGTACAACAGAAACCCACTTACTTGCATTCACACAAGGGAGATCAATCTTGACCGTCTGATTTTATCGTGGGTGATTAAAAAAAATAATTAGAACTCGAATGGAGTGCCTACATATATGAGAAATATGTGATTAAAATAACCAACGGATTACTTTGTAGTTGACTTTATACAGTTTCTACTTTCAAGAGGGAAATATTTTATTTAAACTATATAGTGTAAATGCAGTATAATACACGTTTATTGTATCTTTTTCTTGTGAAGTTACCGATACAACCATATTCATGTACTTTATAATACAAAAATCAATGAATAAACGAATTAATATATCACTCGTGACTCGATAATTACAATAAAAAATTGTAATATAGAGGAGAGAAAAACATTTATTTATTTTCTAACGTTATAGGGTTTATTTTGTTAGTAATATGATTAAGTGTATCTCAAGTTTTATGCTTTCCTATAAATTGATGTTACGTGACATCGAAAATTATAAGAATTACAATATGAAAAATATTTTTGAGTCAGGCGGATTCTTTTCTTTCTCTAATTTTTTTCTTGAATGATAAATCTTTTGGACATATCGAAAGTTTCTCTAATCATCCTCTCCCACCACCATAGCTAGTGACACTCCATTCAAATCACAATGGTTGAATTATTACTAACATCTTTAACACTATCTCTCTCTCGTTGCATATCAACATGAATTAAATGTGCAAGTTGTTTTTAAATCAAATATATTTCAATTATCTTTTATCAATTATTATACTTTACTTATGTGGTTGAAATAACAACAACAATACTGATAAAAAAAACTCTAATTAATCATTGAAGTGCAAGTGCATAGAGCAATTAAATGGTCGGGTAAAAAATAAGGGAAAGTTGGCCAACACCACCAACAGTATCGAGGGAGAAGATCTTCGGAATATACGAAGACGTAAGTCCATATTCCTTATCTATTCTGCTATTCTATTAACTCTTTAAAAGATCATAAGCTTGCATGCATGAGCTGGCCAAGAGCTTGTTAATCCTCTTAAACATTAATTACTTCATTAATTAATTTTAATTTTTAAATAGAAATATCATTGAATATTGATTAATCATTCAACTAGAATAACAATTATAACTAAATTCAATTATTACAAACATTGTTATATATATTCAATTATATAATAAACTCAATGATTAGATCAACCCAAATTAGAACAAAAATAATAGTATCTTTTATCCATATTCAGATTAATATTAGATTATATATATATATAACATTATATTATGAGAGAGTACAGGTAATGTGGGGACTGGCATATCATTCCCGTATCTCTTGAACTAACCCCAACAATCAATGTCTTGAAATCTGGAGATAAACAAAAACACCACCAGTTCACCAACACATCTAAGAAAATAAGTAAATGAATATATTTTAGCATACCATAATAGTTTGGTGCCAACTGTAAGAATACATATTTAGATGTAATTCTTACACCACCAGTCAACCAACACACATAAGAAACGCGGGGACTTAAACAAAAACACTCCCTGTACCCAAGATAAACACTAAATAATCATACAAAAAAAAAATAGAGATTGACAGGTAAAATTAGATAAAAATTCCGTAGCCTCGTACGTACTGGACATTTTCTTCCATCTTCAGAAGTAACTTTTGCCTACAAAGCCAGCCATTTCCCCTTTGATGCGGCTGAAATCACATTCAGGACAGCCTCACAATTTCTTGCTATTGTAGCGGCCATGACCACCACCCGGAAATCTATCATTTCTTCTATCAGAAAATCCTCCTCGACAACCTCTACCGCCAGAGAACCTACCACCACCATCAATTCGGTCACCAAAAGCAGCCCGTCCACCACCCAATCTCCCTCTCGAATGGTCTCTCTCTTGTAAACGTGGCGATTCTTTCTTCATCACCTCTAATATAACATAAGCTGTATTTTCAGCACCTGAAGCCAGAAATGATGATACAATAAAACTAATGTACATGTTAGGGAACAACAAAGGAGGGACATGTCTAGTGAAAATGACTCAATACAATCACCAATTAAGCCGTGAAGTAGGGGAACAGAATACCAGCAAGAAAATTTTCCACGTCTTTTTCTGCAACATCAAAGACTGCACCCATTCCATCAGTTGTAAGGGTCAGACCCTGCACTGATTGAACCTTTTCCTCTGGCAAGAATCTTTCCAACACGCCAAAAAACATACCTAATGCATGAAAATAAAAAAGGAAAAATGAATCAAATTCAGAGAGTTCAGCAACAAAAATATCAATTAATGGTGCTGAAAGAATTTTAAAGTCCTAGAGGTGCTAGTGGTAAACTGGTAATCTATCTCTTTGTTCACATATTCTACATCAATGACAAAGATAAACAAAGGAAAAAGGATTCAGGAACTTACGAAAGCGTGTAAATAGGTTTTCCAGCTTCAAGAAGTAATGTAACATAGTTCTCCATAGATGTTAGAAGGGATCTACTCTTTATTTCAGAATAGCCCTGAAAAATCATGCAATAGTGGAAACCAGAGTTAAACGATCATTTAAAGAATGGAAACACCAGAAAGTAAGATTCGTAATACGAGGAGAATCAAAAGATCCAGTGGATGAGGATGAAAACCCACTGCAGCCTTGGCTAGTGCTTTGGCAAGTAGATCTTCTGCTGATAGACCAGAAGTTGCCAATAGCTCCTGAGCAACGGACTTAAAGGCAGGAATTACGCTGCAATCTCAAATAGGTTAAGGTCTGAGTTGACAACTTACAAAGAGAAGATAAAATAACATCATTAGAAAGTATGCCCGTCTGAGATTTCTTTTATTATTTTAGCCGCTTCCACACCAGCCCATTTAGCAACATCAACTGGCCGGGGAGCAGATATATGCTCAAATTTCACGTCAAAATTCTCTTTCTATTTTAGATATGCTTGTCCTTTTAGGATCAAAAAGCATGACAGCAACTCCAGTATTGCCTGAAATTTAGTAACTTCTCAGTATCATCTCGAATTTACAAAAAAAAAAGAAGCGAAATAATGATAAACTGCTCTCCCTGTTCGTCCAGATAGATGAATATATGCTTCTACATCACGTGGAGGCTCACACTGTAATATAAATAATGATAAACGTTATGGAATCACTATCACATCATAAGCTTCTGTAAAAGATGTGTATCCAAATGTACCTGGATAATTAATTGAACACCATTGATATCTAATTCCCGTGCTGCTACATTTGTAGCGACTAATGTCATGAACTTGCCCGACCGGAACATAGTAAGTGTGATAGGCCTCTAAATGAATTAAACGTTCAGCGAACCGTTCATGAACCGTGCGACGAGAAGTTTGTTTATGTGCGTTTATTTATTAAATAAACAAACATGAACAAGATTTTGTGTTCGTTTAATTAAATGAACGAACATGAACATAAATTTCGTTCGTTCATTTATGTTCGTGAACGTTCGGTTATGTTCGTTTATGTTCATTCATTTATGTTTAACCCAATCTTCTTAAATCAATTTTGGTGACCAATTTGTAAGTATCTTAAAAATATTAATTAATTTGATATTCTGATGACCAACTCCATAATTAACCCAATTTTATTTGGAGATTAAATCTAATATGTTAACCCGTGAGGCACTTTGCACCTATATTCATTTTTCCCCTTTTTTCACAAACCCTAATATTCACTGGAGAATGGAGACGATCGCTGAAAGTTTCAAAACAAGTTATATTATAATACAATCTGAAGTTTATAGATCTGTTTTCATCTCTTTCTCTCTTTTATTTGGCTTAATAGTTTATATGTAAAGTTATTGCGGGTATATTCACATCTAAAACTCAAAAAAATATTATACTTCTTTTTAGAAATAGATGAGAAGATAAATGTAACAATCAGAAGTATATGAGTATCAATAAAGAGAAAAATATAATAGAATTTGCCAGAAAACAAAACAAATGTTTCTATGCAATTTATGAAAAAGAGTGTAATAACGGAAGTAATGGATTTTCCAGGAAGAACCCATTAATAAGTAGAAAATACACTTTGACAATGAACTTTTGTTTTCATAGTTCTTGTGTGACCTTTAGTTGTATAGTAGACTTTAGGTACGTTAAAACTTTGAATGGTGGTTTAGCAATAATATCAATTACGATATGTAACATCGAAGGGATTTCGGATCTATGTTATTGCCTTATAGTCCAATTTGTACCGTTCGAAATCTTCATGCTGTTAAATTTTCTACTCTGTCAACGGAAATGACCATTATTAACAAACCTCACTAAAGTCTGAATTGATGTCACAAAACTTTTAGCCGACGAATTTATTTGAATAACGTAGATTTGGTTGATTTGCATTGTCGACTATTTTTCATGAAAGAACAATGGAAGGTGGGGTCTCCAACGTTTATGTTCGTGTTCGCTTAGTTCGTTTATATTCGTGTTCGTTTATGTTCGTTTATTTATTAAATGAACGAACATGAATAAGTTATTTCCTTAATAAACGAACATGAACAAAAAAAAAATTGTTCGTTTATGTTCGTGCTCGTTTATGTTCGTTTATTTATTAAATGAACGAACATGAACATACTTCCGTTCGTGTGCGTTCGGTTCGTTTAGAGGCCTAAAGGTGACCTGCAAGCATTATACCAAACCTGAGAAATTGCGAAACAACAGGATTCATTTTGCTTGAGCAAAAGCATGAAAAATGATAAGCTCTAGATAAGACTCTACCTCGCGTTGGGCCTGCTGTAGGTCTCCATGCAAAGCCCGGTGATCCGGGCAATAAGCCGGAAAACTCTGAAGCAGAATCTTTTGTCTCAGTGAATATAATAGTACGGCCACCACTGAATTATATCCGCAGGAGAAATGAAGAAAACAACTAAGCCAAGTCATCAAATGTAATCTAAATAGTCGCAGTATATTATTCTAAAACCATAAATCAACCTGCTGTAACAACGAATTATATCTGGGATCAGCTGTGACCTTGCTGAGAATGCTGACTTAGAACAGGGTAAGACAATATGCCCAGCACTGGTACTAGCTTTCATCTTCTCATTACCAACAAGATAAACAGTCTTCTTACTTGTTTTAAGAAATCTTGTCGCAATCTGGAAATGAAAAGGAATAAAGTTCATGATTAGAACTATAAATGATGAAGAAGAAATCCAAGTCACATTTTTAATTCACGTACTAATAGATGGAACAGATACGGGAAATAAAAAAAATACTACAACTCATGAAAACAGGAAAGAAACATACACCCTTCACCCAGTCGGGCAAGGTGGCACTAAAAAGAAGTGTCTGAACTTTACTTGCGTCCTCAAACTTGCCGGGAAAAGTAACTCATTACTATAAGTAAATCAGACAGCAAATCACCACGCAGGTTGGGATAAAGATATAAGTACAACAATGCCAGTGCACGACCTTCTAATGTGTTCTGCATCTCTAATATGGAAGTAGAGAAAACTACATCACCTATGGGAAAAAGTAAAACAGCAGAAAGAAAAATGCATACCTAATATAAGCTCAACTTCATCAACAAATCCCATTCTCAGCATTTCATCTGCCTCATCAAGAACTCTAAATTTCAATGAACTAAGTGAATATTCCCCCTCTCTATGAGATCATGCAGCATTTGCACTAGGGCATTTAACATAATCAAATACCAAAATAATTAAATAGAATAGATATTGAATTTGATGTCATCTCTAAAATAACAAAACCTCTTCAATGGATATCGAGAACAGATTACATTTACGCGGCCAGGCGTCCCAATAACTATATCAACTCCTCTCTTGAGTTTCATCTCTTGGGTGTGGTAAGGGGCTACTCCATATAAACAGCCTGATGTCAATCCCGACACCTCGCCATAAACTTCAAAATCTTAAAAAACCTAGTAGAAACACACGGGTTAATTAGCATAAACTTCACAAACAAAAGGTACTGTCCAAGAAACTGAATTCCAAAGATTTAGATCAGTGGCGCTATAACCAATTCCCTAGTTGGTAAAAGGACCAGAACACTTGGTGCCCTGCCAGATCCAGTCTTTCTTGATGCTTTTGCAGGCCCGTTGGTTAGAGACTCCAATATAGGCAACACAAAGGCCAGTGTCTTACCCTGCACAATAGCAAACAACGTTGATGACCTACTTAAGAAGATAACTTCTTGACGGAGTCACACAACAATGGTTTGAATTGAATAAAACAATCTCCACCAATGCCAACGAGCTTTCCGCCATAATGCATCAATCAGATTCACAGTCAAACTTCAAAACCAAGAAAATCAAGAAAACGATTTAAATCATGCATTTCATATGACATTTTTTTTGTAACAAGAAGGTTGCTTCATAAATCATATTAATAGAATCCTGAGATTATGGAGTTGATACTCACTTCTACAGCAGCACATTCATCACATGGAAACCTTACATTTATATAAAAGAAAAGGAAAGGGAATCATCGTTCTTATATATATATAAAAAACTTATACAATAGTGAAATTTGATCTGAAATTAGCAGCCAAAAGATCAAGTGCATGCATTGTTCAATAAAACGAAGATCACACCTGGCCAGTACGAGCGCGGCCAACCAAATCAGTGCCATTAAGAATAACATTGAAAGTCATGGCCTGAATAGGAAACAACGACTCGATCTCCTTCAACTCGAGTTTCTTCCTAACCGCTTCCGAGAGATACGAAACCTCGAAATCGTATTCGGATCCTCAATTTTACCTTCATCGTCATCGTCCTCTTCCTACACCTTGGCTTTGTTTTCCAACCTGAAAAACGGCTATCCAAATCCTTGCTAAAGAAAGAGTATCATTGTGAGCGAACCAGAAAGAATCTCAACTGGTGATGACTAAGGGGGATCAAGCCACCATCGATCCTCCGTCACTTGGATGAGGACCTTCAACGGAGCATCTTCAACCCAGAACAAATCGTCTTCCCCCAAAGTTGTCTCTATTGCCAACAGATGTGCTACATGGTTGTTCAAACGGTACGTGCATAGGAACTAGAAGCTTCCAAAACTTTAGCTCGTCGTTTAGCTTCCCATGTGAAAGCACGATCAGTCAGGAGCGATGGAGTTGATATTCTGAATTACCGACCACGCATCCCCTCAAAGACAACCTTCGAGAAACCATCTCAACTAGGGTTATAAATGAGGCGAGACAGATCGCGAGTTATTCAAGATCGATTTGATCGATGTTTGATAAATACTTAGATCGAATAGACTCGAGCTCGACTCGATTTCTTAACGAACTGAAACGAATTACTCAATATTCGACTCGAAAAGCTCGTGAGTAACTCAAAAAAATATTATATTATAATTTTAAATTTTTTAAAATTACATTATTAAAAATACATTATTGATAATTATAAAATTTTAAAAATATATTAAAAATTCTATAATACAACTAAAACACCTCATCCCTTATAATTATGTGATAGGATTTATGATTTATGGTTTAAAATTTAAGGTTAAGGTTTAAGGTTTAAGATTTAAGTTATACACAATTACTTAAAGATGACAATCTTAAACAAATACTAAATTATTACCTAAACTAAAGTGTGCTTACATGATACATGCATGCATAAGAATGAAATGCAAATGCATATATATTAAGGGTTTGTTTGTTTGACTGTAATTGATTTTCTGAAAAACCAATTACATTTATGGGAAACAAATTCCAGAAAACCAATTATATTGTTTGGATGCTGCATTTTAAAAAGTTTTACACTGTTTAGTTAGTTTTCCTGAAAATAATTTACGATTTTTGTTTGTTTGTAAAATGTATATATTTTTATATTTTTCTAGTTATTTACATTTTAAAATTTTTAAGTTATTTATAAAATTGTATTTTATAAAATTTTGAAATGAAATATTTTATGTGTATAAGTACATGAAATTAAATTTGTAGAAAATATACTAATTACGTTGATTGTGTTATAAATACATAATTTTAAGTTTGAAGTATTTATTATACTTTATCTATTAGCATTTTTTAAATTAAATTTTAACTCATAATTAATATCATATGTAGCTTTAATTAATATAATGTCGATAATGTATTAAAATATATTATCAAAGTATATAATTAAAATTACATCATTTTTAAAACAACTATAGTACATCTCAATTCCTTGATTTTCAAATACTCATCATAGCGTGCTTTTCTTTGCTCCTTGAAACTCCTACCATTTCGATCTGTTTCAGAAGAGAAGAAAGTAGAACAGACAAACCATCAAACAGAGATTTAACACAGGAAATAAATTGTAAACAATTGATGAACTAAAAGAGGTAAGATAGATTGGGATGAAGAAGGCCAATGAGCGGTGTTGAACCTTCATCACTTTTATTTGGCCATCTTCATCAATGTTCTGGAATGGGGTAAATTTATTAATTAAAATGCAATTCTTTTCCTGTTTTATTTTCAATCAGAGAAAACCACCAAGAAGTTCATACAAATGACTGGAACCTAGAGAAAATGGCACAAGAAAATGATGGAACATTCCAAGCTAATTTAAACCAAAAGTTTAGAAAGCTATAAGCCTCTCAAGGATAATGTTCATCATCAATCTTTCAAACAGACAAATGCAGGTGATTCTTGACCATTTTAACAACCAATCTCCCTCACTCCCAAAAGAAAAGTGCTTGATGAAAAAAAAAATCACTTGGACAACAAGGAAGCTTTAACCATCAAAAGGTTGCCTACTAGAGCAAACTTTGTACCGTTCACACCAAAAGGATTTTTGCTAAATTGTAATCTCATGAAAGATAAACCAGTCATTAGAAATGCTAACCAACTTAAGAAAAATAAAAACACTTTTCCATATGCTATGGGAAAAGACAATTTAATTAAAAGCAATGGTCAACAAACCTTCATCTTCATGATCCATAGGATCAGCCTCATCGTCAGAAGATGACCAACCACTAGATTGCCCTGTTGTTTTTCTACTCGAGGAAGCCACATCTTTCAAAGCAGAGCGTAATTCCTCAGCATCCATATCACTGACACAATCATTGAAACTACGTCCTCTGGGAGACAAAGATCCAAACCAAGATCGATATTAGTAAGGTGATAAAATGTAATCAAATTTAAAGAATAATGCCCTAACCAAAGCACAAATAAAGTGAAAACAAAACTACAACAACACCATTTTCTAAATTCACAGACATATCCACACATAAAAATATAGGTATATGCAAGAGGAAACGCATTATGAAAGTTAGATACCATCATCATCGTCAATCATGGGGTGGTACGACGTCTTGGGTTCTGTTATTTTCTGTCTTACTGGTTTATTCGCTTCAATTTCCCCCAGATTTTCCTCATTCCATCTTACACGCCTACTGTTACCCCCAAGAAAGAACTATTAGATCCAAAACACAACTAAGAATATTGTAACTACAAAAAGCTACAAGAGGACAAATGACAGCGCGATTGGCACTTTTAAAGAGATTTACCCTTGGAAATCAAAGAGAAAAGCAAAAGGGGAGGAAGAGCATTAGGGATTCAAAATATTACCTTGGAATCCTAGAGCTCCTCCCTTGATTTTGCTCGAAAAAATCTGTTGATTTTGTTGATGGTGAGAAGAAGATGATGATAGTTGATCGGAGAATGAAAGAGATCAAAGGTAAAGAAAATTGGGAGGCAATTGGTTTGTAAAATGAATCCCCGACTTTTCCATGGTAAGTTGTTTTACGAGCCAAAAGAGCTTCTTTTACGTTGACTGTAATTGGTTTTACATTGACCAAATGCTTTTACGGGAACTAAACACGGGAATTGGGGGAAAACCAATTAAAAACCAATTTCGTAATTGGTTTTCCTGAAAACAAACAGACCCTAATATGAAACAATATAAGATTAAACCTACTATTAATAACTTAAACTTATATTTTAAAAATGCCATGAAGGACCAAAACAATATAAAACTGAAAATAGGCATACAAAGTAGAAATTACTCATTAAATTAAACAAGCCAACTAAGGGATTACAATGTCAAATAATTAAAATTACAAGACACAATTGAAAACAAGTACAAATTGAAGGAACACTAAAGAAAGATATCTAGGGTAAAAACTCTTACCCTAATTCATTTCCCCCTCAAACTTTCCCTGTCTAAAACTTCCCCCATCATCGTTCTCCTCTCAAACCTCGTCCACTCGTAGCCATAGTAGAAACCCATAGCCACCGTGGCCTAAACACTCCCCCAAGACTCCGGGTGACAAAGACAAGCTCCTATCGACGAGAAGGTAAGGTTTTGCTTATTGTTTCTCTGGCCACTGATGGTTTTGTTGGTCGAATGTTTTTTTTTCTATTCTGGTTGATACTCGTTGTTTTGGGTGGCTAATAGGTTATATGGTTGTGGTTTGATAGACTCTCTAGGGTTCTATTCCTTTCTTTTTTTGTTCTTTTTCAAACAAAATCCAGAAATTTTCTTAGGAACCAGAACAAGCTCCACCTTCTAAATTCTTCTTCTGACTATATGGAAAATCCTTTCGTTTAACGATAATTGTTGACCACTTGTACACGCACATGTTCCTACCTATGGAGTCTGATGAATGATGACGTTCCTTTTAGGATTTTCGTATCTTAAACACTCATGCCAAAGGGTTTCTGAGGTGTAGACACTAGTCTGCTTGCATCCGTGTAACATAGATGTTCACTGATTGTGTTGTAATTTTGTTGGATGGTTCTAAAATGACCCTTTTCTGTAGCATTTATGAGTGCAATTTAGAACATCCGTTTCTAGCACATTTCTAATGTATATTGTGTAGTCTATCATTTTACCCTTTGGATTATATTCTTTTCCTTGTGTTTCCTTCTTATGTATGCTTGAAACTTTTCAGGTAAGTGAAGAGGTGGAAAGAGCTTTGGCAAAATTTGGCCCTCCTAGACTTAGTGGAAGGTAAAATAATAAAATATCTGTATGATCATTTACGATTGTAATGGCAATTATTCTATATTCTGATGTCTTAATTTAATATATATATATATATATATATATATATATATATATATATATATATTTCAATTGAAGATATGGATAATGAAGCATGTTAGGTGGTGTTGAACGACTAATGATTTTGGTTTGGTATATCAATAGTAGCCTTATATATGACATTGTTCCCTCTGCCTATTGTTCATCAAGATCCCTATGCTTAACAATGTCAAACCATTTGTGAAGTTTGTGATTTGAGAATGTCAACCTCTATGTGATAAAAGAACTGTTTTACTATCGATTGATGTATCTTGCGGTAGCTGGAAATTCTAATATTCATTTAAGAGCTTCTGGGTTTTAGTAAATTCTAGTTATTGTGAGAAAGTCCAGGATGTTTGTTCTTTGTGCATGATGATAATATGGGAACATCCTATTTAACATATTTTTTTTGTCTTTTATTACCACTCATTTTAGCAATTGCTTGTGGAATTATAGGTATTTTTTCTGAATGTTAATGAACTGTAACTGTTGACATTTCTGTTAATTCTAATAGTTTATGTGTTTGTTATTGTCTCATTAAGTAGCCATTGTTTAAGAATATTGTGCATGAGAATTGAAGTGCTGCAATGTTTGAAGATAAGGCCAGAGCTGATATGTTCAATTTAAACTTGTAAATTGTTGTATGTTTTCTGCTCGACAACTCTGTTTGCGTCCACTTATATGCATTTTCAAGTTTCAGTTTATGAGTTTTGAAACACTACTTTTATGGCAAAAGTTGTTGTTTTGCTTTGGGGAGGATTGTAAATGGGTGCCTGTTGTGGGAGCATGTTTGGTCTTATGTGTTTAGAACATGTTCTACAACCATAACTACTCTTGTATGCATCCTATAAAGTTTCTGAAATGAGTTCATATTATCATAAAAAAATGTATTGGTGATGGTTGATTAAAGGGAAAGTTATTTATATATTTTAAATGTAATATAAGATTTTTTGTAGGTTCAAATTCGAGTTCGATTTCGAACTTGAATCGAGTTCGAGCTTGAATCGAGTTCGAGCTTGAATCGAGCTCAAAATCGAGCTCGAGCCTTTTCGAGTTCGAGCCGAGTTTCAATATTATCTTACGAGTTTGAGTCGAGCTTGGAAATTTTAGGCTCGCAAGTTTTCGAGTCGAGTCGAGCCTACATTTAAAGTTTTCGAGTTTGAGTCGAGCTCGACAATACTCGAGCTCGACTCGGCTCGTTTACACCCCTAATCTCAACTGCGAACTCCAACGCGTGGATCACTGCACAAGCCTCCGCCTCAAATGCAGAGGTAACATTTGAGCCGGTCCTGATTATTTTTAGGCTCGAGGAAAAAATAAAAAATACCTCTAATATAAACAAAATTAAGATACATGTAATATAAAAATTTTATTAGATATTTTTATTAAATTAAAAAATATTAATTTATTATAATATAAAAGATGTAAAAAAATATATTTAAGAAAACAAATATTTATAAAAAAATATTACATTCGATCATTTTTTATGTAAAACCATTGATAATAGTATCAACATCAATGCTTTCCAATATATTTTTCTCAATACATAACATAACATTTGAAAATAAAAGAACGATCTTATCTAAAATTTGAAAATATATAAAATTAAAAGAAAGAATTTGTAAATATGGTCTACCTAGAATTTTAAGAACAATCTTCAATATGATTCAAGCACCATAATTGATAATAAACAATTGTGACTTTACGTGTGAGAGAAATATGATATATTAAAAAATGAGAATAATAATTTTTAAATGAATCGTGAAGCATAAAAGAGAAAAGAAGCATGCTAATTATACTTAATTTTTTCCCCTCATTAAGTTTTTAAAAAAAAAAATATTGTTAATAATTTTTTTGTTGATACGAAAAAATGAAAAATCGGTAAAAAGATTTGGTGGATTGATAGTGAGAATTTGGAAAGACCAAAATTAAATAGTTCAATTGATTTTTTTTTTAATTTTGAGAAAGAAATATTAAATTAGAATTTTATGGAAGAACAATTTATTAATGTTAATATAAAATTCAATAAAGATAATTGACACTTTAATAAATTCATGGGCCCCATTATTTTATTGAGTAAATTACATGTTTAGTACCTAAATTATTAATTTTGGTCTATTTTAGTATCTAAACTTTTAATTTTTTCAAAATCATACGTAAAGTTTAGCTTTTGTTTCATTTTAGTACCCGCTGTTAAAAACTTTAGTCTTTTTATTTCATTTCAGTACACATTCAAAATTTAACGTTAAGTTTAATTTATTTTTGAAATTTTAGGTACTAAAACAAACAAAAACTGATAATTAGGTACTAAACGCGTTAAGTTTTTAAGACACTAAAATGAAATGAAAATTAAACGTTAGATATAATTTTAAAAAATTAAAAGTTTAAGTACCAAAACGGATCAGAACTAATAGTTTAGGTACTAAATTCATAGATAACTCTATTTTATTTTATAATTTTTAATTTATTATAAAAAATAAAAAAAATATTGTACTAATTTTTTTTATTTTATGGGCCCGGGCGGGCGCTCCTCCTGCCCTGGCCCAGGGCCGGCCGTGGGTAACATTTTCCACTCCTCCGTCTGCATGCACCCATTAGCAAACCCTCTTCATTCCTTATAACCATCGCTGACCAAGATGTTTTGTTCACCTGCATGAATCTTGAGTCAAAGTTGGCTTTTACAAAAGAACCGGGATGGGGGACCAACAGATCCTCGGGAGTGGAGCTGATCGATAAAGTTGGTCGGTGGTAGCCTCGAACTCCAAACAATGGCCATGAACGAAGGTAATAATATCACTTATAATATCCAATTTTCGTCCGGCCTCCGTTTAAAACTCCGATATTTTTATTGAAGCAGATTTTGAAATCCAATACATCAGCTGACATGTAAATTTTTTTGGACAAGATTAAGACATTTTTAGGGCATGATATCTTCTTGAAACTGAATCGGATTACCGTTAGCTTTCTAAAGTATTTTGAAACGCCTTAATCGGATATTGGAAACTCAATATATGCTTATTTTAGCGAAGACATCATGTACAAAAAATTAGATTCGGGTCAAATACGAATATTTTAATTTATTGTGAATTTTCAATTATTTTATTAAATATTTATAATTAAATTGAGCTTTATACCTACTTTCCCTAGTTTATTTAGGGTAATATAAGATCTTTTTATAATTTTAAGATTTTTTTAAATTAGTGTATTTAGCATTAATGAAAAAAATATTAAAATATTATCTTTTAAGGTTTTTAGAGCCTACAAATAGGTACTCATCTTATGTAAAAGGGGAGGATAATTTTTGGAGTAGAAAAAAGAAAAGGGGAGTCACCTTAAGTTTTGTAATTTGAAAGATACAAACTAAAAAAAGAATTTCTATCTGAAGGTAATTGTCCTTGCGTTTTACTTTTATTCTTGCTTTTTTTTATTGATTTT